AATTTGAAAGAAATCTATCTAATATAGAAACAAATTTTCCATATGTCATTAATAGTTTTCATAAGGAAGTAAATATAAAAATAAGATTAAAAAAGATCCCCTTTACCTTTTTAATATAATTCACAATGAACATATATATTTTGTCTGCCACACATACACATTGTCTCACTGATCAAGTTTCTGCAATTACGTACCAATCTCAGAACCCTCTAAAGATTCTCTCGGTTTCAAAAGGTCCGTTTCAATTTCGTGATTAAACTTGTCTAAAGATAAAGTCATCCCTCTCGTTTCCGCTCTTTTGCTGCTACAATGGTTTTATGGAACTCTGCTTTTAACGATTAGTTTCGTCTTTTTTGCGATGAATCTGGATGATGAATTGTTTCTTTTAGTCTGAGATTCATGGGTTTTTGCTGCTTCCAAGTTAAGAGTTTTCAAGAGTACTCGGATTCAATCATTCTCGATTCAGAGAAATTTAGTTTTGAAAGGAAAAAAGGTTGGATTTTTAGGTGAAAAATGGAAGAAAATTGTTTCCAAAGAGGCTTCTCTTTTCAAGATCCTATGAGAAATCTTCACCAAAATGACTCGGTACTTCCCTTAACTATGATGGTTACAACAAGTCAAACTTGTCTTCATAACAATGTGCAAAGAGAGAAGAAGAACTCAACGAGTGAAGATGATGGCGATGGTCCAAAAGAACCTCTCCTTGGCAGCGAGTGAAATGGATGGATAACATGGTCAAGCTAATGATCACTGCTCTTTCTTATCTCAGCCAAGACTCGGTTTTTAACAATGGTTTTCGAAAGAAATGTTCGTTTTTTCGCAAAAGAAAAGTAAGTGGAAACTAGTCTCTAAGGCCATGGATGAAAGGGGTTATCGTGTTTCGCCGCAGCAATACGAAGATAAGTTCAATGATGTTAATAAACGGTATAAGAAGCTTAATGAGATGCTTGGTAGAGGAACTTCTTGTGATGTTTGTTGGGCCTGGACCTGCGGTCCAATAGATTCTGTGATCTTTCTGATGATGACTATGAGGAACACAATTTGTCTCGGAGGGATTGTGGAGGAATCCATCGTGGAGCCATAGGTGATGACTTGAAGAGATTTAGACGAAGCCAGAGCCATGAAGATGTTGGTCATTCGAATCATACGAAGTCTTGGGAATGTAGTAAGGGGGTTATGTCACTCACTTGCCTCTTTCTCAAGATGATGAGAATCGAGGAATGTCGCTAGAGAGTAAGGAAGCTACTAGCTTACAAAAACCGTGGATCGAGTCTAGGTATCTCGAGTTAAAAGAACACAAGCTTCAAATTCAAGTTGAGTTGATAAAATTGGAGAGACAACGATTCAAGTGGGAGAGGTTTAGTAAGAAAAGAGACCAAAAGCTCGAAAAAATGAGAATGGAAAACGAAAAGATGAAACTTGAGAATGAAAGGATGACATTGGAATTGAAACGAGTCAAATTAGGTGCTAAATTATGAAGTATTAGGCATTAGGCTTTCTTAATCCTATTTTATGGATTCAACATTAATGATCCAATCATTGATGCTTATGTTGGATCAAAGAAACTAATCAAAGACCAATGCAGTTACATCAAGAAGTGGTAACAATAATCAGTATCTAACTTTGCAATAAGCATTATCATGTAGCTAAGATTTGAAGTATATAGAGATTATAATTCATGTTTTCTGATGTTATTTGTTTGTTTCCAAGCATAGAAAGTTGGTTTCAATATGCTTTAGTTATGTCATGTAAATATCAGTGAGTCAGTGACAGGGACAAGAACAGAGAGTAACTTCTCAAAACTACAAAACCTCTAAATTAGCTTTCTTCTTTGAGCAATTTGATTCTCTCTAACACTATGAGGCCATGAACTTTTAGGGTACTTAAAGAATCTTTACAATAGTGAAAGAAAACAAAACAAAAAGAAGGTAGAATTGTGTTTTTGTCTTTGAGAAAATCTTTAATAAAGAGTTTCATCGAACTAAAGAAATAAATAAACAAGTTTGGGCCAAAAACATTTTATGGTTTTGGGCTAGTAAGAAAGAATTAGACCATGTCATGATTATGCTACTAATTCATTTCTATACCAACATGAGTAAAAAAGCAAATTCCATATATGACATTTTTATATAGCTTTTCGTAAACAAAATTGGTGAAAAAAAGCAAAAATATATTTTAAGAAATATGAAATGTGTGATCGAATTTCCC